GGGATGGGTGTGTCAGAGGCGGTGCGGTTGGCGCAGGATAGAGCAGGGTTTAGAGCAGTTGTGCATAGGGTCGCTATGAGTCGGAAAGGACTCGACGGCACATAACAACAACAGATATATTTTAGTATTATTCTTTTTAAAATTCGTTGTTGTATATTTTCTGCCCTCCACCAGCCCATCCACAATGTACTCCTTGTTCCAGATTGTTATCATATATATAATGCCTAATTATATATTTCTTTCAGACAGTTCTCCTCATCTGTTCTGTTGCAGTGTTCATTATCTACCATCCCCTCTTTTCTCATTCTCTTCCTGTCCTCTTATATCTATCCTATTTTATAACAGCTGTGCTATGCAGTATTTGTCCTTTTGTGACTGAAATAGTTCACTCAGCATAATGTCCTCCAGACTCCAATGTTGTGTAATGTTTTATGAGTTCATTGATTTTCAGTGCTGTGTAATATTCTACTGTGTACTATGTAACATTGTTTTTCTATCCGTTCGTTTTCCGATGGACACTTGGTTTGCTTTCCTGTCTTTGCTTTTGTGAATAACACAGCACAATTATGGGTGTGCATACATCTGTTTGAGTGGTAGATCTGGTTTTTTTAGGATGTATTCTCAGTAGTGGAATTGCTGGGTCAAATGGTATTTCTATTTCCAACTTTTTGAGAAAGCTTTCCATAGCAGCTGTACCATTTTACATTCTCATTAGCAGTTAATAAGAGTTCCAATCTCTCCACAACCTCATCAGAGTTTGTTGTTTGCTGATGTTTCTGGAGTGAGAGGATATCTTGTAGCTGTTTTGATTAGAATCTCTCTGACAGTTAGGGATTTTGAACATTTTTTATGTGTTTGTTTGCCATCTGAATGTCTTCTTTGGTGAAGTTCCTGCTCATATCCTTTGCCCATTTTGTTACTGGGCTATTTACCTTTTTCTTGTTGAAGTGCTGGAGTATTCTGTAAATTTTAGATATAAGTCCCTTATCAGATATATTATCACCAAATATTTTTTCCAAGTCTGTGAGTTTGCTTCTTACCCCATTGGAGAAGTTTTTGATGTGCATAGGGATTGGATTCTTAGAAGGTCATGTTCATCTATTTTATTCTCGCTTAGTTGTAGGTTTGCATAAATTCTTTTCAATATACCTTATTCAGTTCAACTTTCACAAGCATGTGAGACAATTTAAAACCATGGATCGATCTTTAAACTGACACCTTGTACTTTAAAGAGGTATAAATTAATATTTATACAAAACTGTGTAATTAAAGATCAAAATCATTAACATTTTATTATCCAGAACATTTGATGTGGAACCTATACGTAGAGGAAGAAGCAGACATTCTTCTTGAATTAACAGGTCATAGGAGATAGTTTAAATCAAGATAAGTTTATGTCAGGGTTGTACTTGTTCAGTCTGGTTGCTGAATGAATAATCCAAGAAGGGGAACTAGATGAAGCTGAATGTAGCAGCAGGGTTAGAGGATGACTCATTAACAGCCCAACCCTGCTTCCTGTAAGCAAGAAGATTTGAAGCACTTACTGATGAAAATTGAAGACTGTAGCCTGCAGTGTGAATTACCTAGCAATATAAAACACAAATCATGACAACTGAACAAATACATAAAGTTGTGATAAATGGAGAAAGTTTGATGTTGGCAAGAATTTGATTTTATTTGAATTCACAACTTTCATGTAAGCTCTCACTAACTCATTGCCATCAAGTCAGGATTAATGAATAACTGATCCTCCAGCAGGTTTTCACAGGCTATACATCACAAAGGAAGAGATTGATTATCTTTCTTCAAATATGCAGCTCGCTGGTAGATTTGAACTCATAGAGAGGTGTCGCCTCTTAGGTTAGTTGTGGAACTCCCTACAGACAACACCATCTGAGCTCCTATGGGAGCAGCAGTCAAGAAATCAAACATACTGCAATGAGAACATCTGCTGACAAGGACCTCTTTGGAGTGCTACAGAACAGTGATCTGGCTTTTGGGACCAAGTGGCACCTGATCCAAGCTGTGACATTTTCAGTTGCTACATGTGGATATAAAAGTTGGATACTGAGTAAGGAAGGCTGAAAAGAACTGATGCCTTTAAATTGTGTAGTTGAAGAATATTGAACATACCTTGGACTTCCAAAAGACTAGCTCTACCATAGAAGAACTGCATCCCCGAGGCTTCTTAGAAGTGAAGATGGTGAAATTTTGTCTCACATACATTGGCTATGTTATCAGGAGGGTCTGCTGTCTCAAAAAGTGCCTCAGACTTAGTCAAGTAGTGGGTCAGTGAGAAAGAGGAAAACTGTCAGGCGAGGGCTTGACACAGTGGCTGCAACAGGGATTTGAAGCACAGCAGTAATAGTTACCGCTTAAAGGGACTGAACTTGTATTTGAGGTAAATAAAACGTTTTTAAAATAGTGCTGATATTTGGCAAAACACAGTGATTATAATTAATACCATTGACTTGCACACTTAGAATGGTTAAAATAGTAAATATTTTGTCATGCACGATTTACCACATTTTTTTTTCTTCATAAAACAAAAACATTGATTTGCAGGATCCCAGATACAGTTGATCTGCAATGTCACGGATAGCACTGGCATGGGTAGCTTCTTCTGGCAGTGGAATGGGTCCACCATTCCTGAAGAGGACCAGGTGTTGGTGGAAGATTATCAAATGTGAGTATGCTTACAGCCAGCCATGCAATAGAGACATGTTGATATTAAGTTCTTTGTCATACTGTATCTCTTGGTGGTTTAATCTGGTAGTAAGGACTGTCAGTTGATGATCCCCAACATTTCTAAGAGGAGCAGGACTTCCAAATGAGATGTAAACATGTAAGGCAAATCTCCCTGTCTCTGGGGAGCATATTCCAGCACACATGGAAGATTTTCTCTTCAGTTCATTTACATATTTTGCAACAGTCTAGTGAAGCAATGATCCAAAATTCTTCATCTTAATTCTTTTCTAATTAGGTCAGGAATTAGGCACTCCATTGCTCAAAAATCTTCAATGATGAACAGTATAAAATCCTGACAGGATAAACTACAGACCCCTTATCCTCACCTACGAAGCTTTTTGTAATCTGCCTAAAATCACTCTTCTTCTTTCTTTCTTTTCTGTGTATTTTGAAGTTGAGAATGCATCTTTATCTCAAAGACAAACAAAAAAACCCTCACTCAAGTCAGTTCCACCTCACAGTGAATGCATTTCATAGGTTTTTTGAGGCTATATAGTCCAGCAAAAGGCGACTGCGCATCTTTCTCCTTCGGAGCCACTGGTAAATTGTAACTAGTGGAAACTCTGAAAGTGACCAGGCTGTAGGGTTACAGTGAAGGTCACTACAGACTATGCCAACAGAGTGCGCCTTCTTCCTATCTATCTGTCTATCTACCTACCTATGTATCTATAGATTGATCAATGGGCTTAAGTATGTCAGAGATGATGAGGGAGGCACAAGATAGGGTTCAGATTTGTTATTCATAGGATTGCTGTGAGTCTTACTTGACTTAATGGCACCTAACAAAAACAAGTTGTGTGTGTGTGTGTGTGTGATATTGTTGTGTTGTTCAGTACTGTTGAGTTGGAACTGACCCATAGCTGACCCTCTGGTGGGTTTTCAGAGGCAGTTAATCGCATGGAAGGAGATTGCTCATCCTTCTCCTGTGGAACAGCGGCTTAGAACTCTGTCCTTTAGGATTGCAGTGCAACTTCTTGCCACAAGGCCACCAGAGTGCCCTATATATTACATAGTAGCTGGTAACAAATACACATACATATACAAATTTTCATGAAAGTTTATGATCTTGGTGTGATTTCTTTGCTACTGAGCATTTTCTTGGCAATGGCATCAAGGTCACAGAGTCTCAGGTGGGTGTTGCCAGTTGTCTGGGTTTTATCCCTACACTTGGAACCATGGTTACCTCTGCCACAAGTCTCAGCAAAGAGAAAAACCTACTATACATTCTCACTTGTCACTGATACAACTTGTTGTTGTTATGTGCCCTCGAGTCTTCTGCGACTCATAGTGATCCTATGTACAACAGCCCTAAACCCTGCTCTATCCTGTGCCAATTGCACTGCCTCTGACACATCCACCCAGATTACCCTAGTTACTGAATCAATCCATCTCATAGAGGGTCTTTCCCTCTTGCACCGTTCCTCCACCCTTACAAGCATCATGTCCCTCCACCCTCCCAAGCATCATGTCCCTCTCTAAAGACCTGTCCCTCCTTGCAACATGCCCAAAGTATGTCAGACGAAGCCCCAGAATCCTTGCCTCCAAAGAGTAGCCTGGTTTAACCCTCTCCAGGATGAATCTGTTTGTTTTCCTGGCAGTCCATGGTACATTCAATACTCTTCTCTAGCACCACAGCTCAAAGGCATCAATTCTCCTTCTGTCCTCCCTAGTCATTGTCCAACTCTCTGATGCATAACAAGTGATTGCAAAGACTATGGCCTGTATCAGGTGCACCTTAGTCTCCAGAGAGACGCCGTTGCTCTTGAGTACTTTAGAGAGGTCCCTAACCGCAGACTTTCCCATTGCAATACGTTTTGTAATTTCCTGGCTGCGGGTGTCAAGAGTGTTGACCGTGGAGCCGAGCAAACTGAAGCTGTGAACAATGTCAATCTCTTCACCATCCATCCTGAGGCTACCAATTGGTCCAGTGGTGAGAATCTTTGTCTTCTTGATATTGAGCCTCAGTCCATACTGAAGGCTGCAGTCCTTGACCGTCTGCGGCAAGTGCATGAGGTCCTCCTCAGTTTCAGCAAGCAGGGTTGTGTCATCTGCATAATGCAGATTGTTAATAGATCTTCCACCAATCCTAATACCACAATTCTCTTCATAGAGCCCAGCCTCCCGGATAATCTGCTCTGCATGCAGGTTGAAAAGGTATGGAGACAGGACACAACCCTGGTGTACACCCTTCCCAGTTTTGAACCATGCAGTGTTACCCTGCTCTGTTCTGACAACTGCCTTTTGGTCCAAGTATATATAGGTTTTGAATTAGCACGATTAAATGTTCTGGGATTCCCATTCTTCTCCGAGTCAGCCACAGTTTGTTATGATCCACACAGTCAAACGCCTTTGCATAATTAATGAAATGCAGACAGACATTCTTCTGGTATTTCCTGCTTTCAGCTAAGATCCATCTAACATCAGTTTGTGATACAGCTTGCTTTATTTATTTTCTTTTTTTTTTTAACAGAATGAAACTTCAAGGCTCAAAAAAGCAAATAATCATATATCTTAATATTTCACAAGTAGAGAGGAAGTTTTACCTATATCCGTTTACCTGTAAGGCCACAAATTGGCTTGGCTACAGTGTAGCTTATGTCCAATTTGTACATCCAGGTAAGTAACAAGCTATTTGTTTGAAATGCCACTTTGTTTTACTGTGATTTTGAAGTTCATAATGCTGTTTATTTAGCCTACAACATCATTGCTTTCTGTTAAGTTGGCTCATTTTTATTACCCTTTCACTTCTCAGCTGAACCATTCCTCACTCTAGGCAGCTTTTCTGTTCCATGCTGGTGGCCTAGTAAAGTAAGTGGTGGTCTGTTAACTGAAAGGTCAGTATTTTTAACCCATGAGGAGAAAAATTATATGATCTCTTCTCAGTAAGACAGTCTTGGACATTTGATGGAGAGACACCATGAGTGAATCAACTCTGTGGCATTGTTTAAGGATTTACTACTCTACCCCTAATTTGGTTCACTACCTGGATTATCACTGCAGTATTGGTCATACTTAGTTTTCTTAATGGATTGCAAATTCTACCATGGTTCCAATTGCTTAGCTTACTCATCTTCATATGTCCAGTGTTAGTCACAACTTAGATTTGGTCCATTATAAATAATATTTTTTATGTGAGGTCTCATGGTGTAGTCACAGTAAGTTGTGCTACTCACACAAAGATGGGGCCTCTTTACTGGTTGAAATCCCCAGCAACTCTGTGAGAGAAGGATGAACAATTTCCTTCTCTGTAATTTACAGCCTTGAGACCCAGTGGGGGTCTGCTAGGAGTAATTTTCAATTCGGTGGCAGTGAGAGTAATAAATATTTTTAGGCAAATAACTGCATGAGTGATGGATTTATGCGTAGGGTAAAGTTAAATAAGGATTTTCCAAACAGCAGTCAGCAGTTACTGCTTTTCATGATACTGATTTAATAAAACACAGTATTTGAGAATATTCATGTTAAAATAATTTATAGTTGAATTAAAATTAGGATGTTGATGTTCATGAAAGGAAATCGTAATCTACAGACAGAATTACTTATTAGACTTAGCAAGATCACAGGAATATATATACTGGGCTGATGGGGTTTGGTGTGTCAGAGTTAGTGAGACTGGCTCAGGACAGGGAAGGGTACAGAGCTGCTGAACATCTCTGTACATCGCAAATGACTCAATGGCATATGAAAACAGGAACATACTATGACAGGTTTAGAAGCAGGAGTGGCATCCACTTCTAAATAAAATGCCTCCAGAAACCTTATGAACTTTGATAAATGTCGATAGTTGTAGAGGGGCTTCAAGCCTTTTGTTCATAGCGTTGCTATGAGTTGTGCTCTACTCAAAGGCCATATATATATATATATAAAACTTAAATATATATAACATATAAAGCATATATATATAAAACTTATCTATATAAAGCTTATATATAAAATATATATAAAATTTATAGCTAAATAACTTTTATATATAACATATATCAATTATACACACACACACACACACACACACACACACATGTGCACATAGATATGTGTGGTAGTGTTGTTGTTATTGTTGTGTGCCTCCACATCAGTCCTTTGTGACTCATAGTGACTCTATATACAACAGCTCTGAACCCTGCTTTATCTTGAGCCAGTTTCATTGTTTCTGACACACTTGCCCTCATTACCCCAGTCACTGAGTCCATCCATTTTATTGATATTCTTCCTCTCTTGCACTATCCCTCTACCATTCCAAGCATGATGTCTCTCTCTAAGGATTGGTCCCTTCTTGCAATATGCACAAAGTATGTCAGATGGAACTTCAAAATCCTTGCCTCCAAGGAGCAGTCTGGTTTCACCCTCTCCAGGTCGAACCTGTTTGTTCTTCTGCAGGCCACGGCACATTGAATACTCTTCTCCAACCCACAACTCAAAGGCATCAATATGTACCTATCTAAATGCCAGCAAATAAATAATACTTACATTTAAAAGATAATGTTTGTAAGTTACAAAAAGAAATTATTAGTAATAAATTTAGCAGAAACTTTGAGATTTCTGTAGTACGAACTGTTGTTAATATGTACTGTCAAGTCAGAACTGACCCTCTACTGAGTTTTCAGGGGCAGTAAACTGCACAGGAGAAGATCTCCCCATCTTTCCTCTGTGGAGCAGCTAGTGGATTTGATCCTCATGCCTTTGGGGTGACAGTGTAGCTCCTTACCCTAGGGCCTTATAAACTAGAATAACTTTATTGAGATCTATCAGTGAATATATAAATAAATGTCAGGGTAGAAATGCTAACAAATTGAAAGAATCAATAACATAAAATAGTTACTTCCAAATGAAGCAACAGAGTCAAAACAATTGTAATAAGAATCTCGCCTGCAAAGCCTTTTGTAGTAAGCAAAATAGTCGTGTGTGTGTGTGTGTGTGTTTGCACTCATGTCATTGAATGTTTCTCCATGCATTTTAAAGTTTCTTCTAAATATTATGAAAAGATAAAGAAGAGCCAGGTTGAAGTTGAATGACTATGGAAAATTTATACTACCAGATATCATTTTGTGTGAAGCTATAGGAATTGTAAATGTTAACAATTAATTGAGTCAACTGAGTGTGTATCTGAAAAACAGAATATATTTTTACTTCATATTAAAATCTATCCTAAATGGATCAAAGCTCCAAATTTATTGCTCTTGTTAGGTGTCATGAGTCGACTCTGATTTGTAGCACTCCTGTGAACAGCTCTGAATCTCTCCTCGGCCTGTGCCATCCTCATCATCCCTGATGTCCTTGAGCACTGGTAAAGTCTCTGTGTTAATCCCTCTTGTTAAGAGTCTTCCCTTCTTTCGCTTCTGCCTTTCCAAGTATGATGCCTTTTTCCAAGAACTGGCCCCTCCCAATAACATGTCCCAAAATAAACCGAAACTTCTACATTTTCTTTTCTACATGCCTAAATGGTCTCAGACATAGGAAAAGAAACACTTTCTTCCTTTTCTCTTATTCTCCTTTTTTGTCCTTTACTCTTCCTCTTCCTTCTGGATTACATATAAAAAAGGTCAGGAAAATGTGTAAATGTAAGACATTCTAGATAATGTCAATGGATTTCCCTTAGGCTTTTTCTCCTAATTTTCTCCACTTCCTCTCCTACCAATAGGAACTTTTGTAGGCTTTTAAATTAATTAGAGTTTTATTTTATTATTGGGAGTATTGAGAGCCTAGTGTAAGAAGCTGTGCTGCACTCCCAAAAGCACACAGTTCAAATCTCTCAGCTGCTCTGCACAATGGGAGAAGATTGGGTGATCTCCTCACACATAATAAATTGCCTCTGAAAACCTGCTGGAGGATCAGCTACAACAAGAACAACAACAGAGAGTAATTAGGGAGTTCTAGTGGCCTACTGGTAAGGATCAGCACTGCCAACCCAAAGGCCATGGTTCAAATCCATCAGCTGCTCTGCAGGAAAAGGATGGGCCCTCTCCTCCCATGGGATTTACTGCCTCTGAAAATTCACTGGAGGGTCCGCTATGGGTTGATTCCGACCCAAAGGTACATAACATAATAACAACATAAAGTCATTTATCTTGTAGTTAGAAGTTTTCTGTATATTTCACATTTATGCTATGTAGATAGACATTTAATAGAACGTTATTTTATTATTTATTATTATTTTAATAGAACATCATTATTATTAATTTTATGGATTATCCATACTGTTTGTATATAAAACTAAACAAAATCTGCCATAATTTATTTGATTGCCATTGATTGCTATCACTCAGAATAATGAATGGATTAATGCTTTGCAAACACAAGCCAATTCCAAATATAGTTTCTTTGAGATGGAGATATTTAATTTGCTATGTTTAAAATTTTAATTAATTAATGTCATTCTTTTTTTTCCTTTTCTCCACTGTAGTCCGTGAGTTCCAGATGCATGTTATAGGAGTATTCATCATGTTGACAGTACTAATTACATGCTCCATTTTCACCTATAAATTCTTCAAGATTGACATTGTACTTTGGTACCGGGATTTCTGCTATGTCTTTCTTCCCAAAAAAGGTGTGATTTTGTATCCATGCAATGTTTCTTGTTACAAATACAAGATTGTTAAGAGACACAGGAAGATTATAGAGAGGGTTTTACTTAAGTATTAAAGTAAGATGTGGCATATACAAGAGTAATGTTTGTTCTTATATGTGAAGGTATTTTCATATTTAGTAGAAGATTACTGGTTTTGGAGCTGTACAGATAATCATTCGTGGAATATTTTTCCCATGCGAACCTGATAAAGTCCTTTGCAAACTTTTCCAAAAGAAACCCCTAACATCATACACATGCACATACACACATAATGTATTTATAGTATATATAAAAATACATATTTTTGAGCTGATCTGTAAAAGAGAAAACACTTTTACAAATATCCTGAAAATTTCCAGCAAGGGAAGAAAAAGATCATTTGACTTAAGGAGTAAGAATGAGAAGAATTTTGTGGAATTTTGGCTCTAGGGAGAATAGTTTTATTTAAAAGAATGATTAAGAGAGAATTTAGGGTTCAAGTATTTGGCAAAGGAGATAATAACAGATAGGTTAGATGTATAGAAAAGGATAGTTCCATACATATAAGAACAACTGTTCTAAAAGAACTAGAGGTCTTATTAGAGATAAATACAAGGCATTATACTTTTGGTATTGTGATTCCATTCATAATGCAAATGTTTCAGTTGCACGTATGTGGTACTGATTTTGCCCGGTTGTTTGGTTCTAAATACATTACATTTTCTGTTTAGCTTCAGATGAAAAGATCTATGATGCGTACATACTATATCCCAAGACACTTCAGGAAGGATCCTCTACTACCTCAGATATTTTTGTGTTTAAAGTCTTACCTGAGGTTTTGGAAAAACAATGTGGATATAATCTGTTTATTTATGGAAGGGATGACTACATTGGAGAAGGTATGCATGTCAAGCTGAAAAAAGGAAAAGGTTTATTGTTGTAACACCAATTTAATGGGTAAATTTAGGCTTCATCTTTTTAGAAGACTACAGCATTGAGTGCTTGAGTTGTTACGTGCTGTCAAGTCACCTGTGACTCCTAGAACCCTATGTACCACAGCCCTAAACCTTGCTCTATTCCTTGCCAATCTTACTGTCTTCGATACGCCTGTCCCCATTACCCCAGAGACTGTTAATTTTAAGAACCTCGTTAGTGGTATATGGTGGTGATTTTCATATTTTTAGAATATGAAATAATCTCTTTTCTCACTCATTATTAGAGCGATATTTTCTATTTAATTTGGGAAATAAAACTAAAAAACTTCTTAGAGCAAATAGTTACTTTAAAATGAATAAAATTTGTTGTTGATCTATTTTGCCCATATTGTTGTTAGGTGCCATCAAGTCAAGTATGACTCAGAATGATTCTATGAACAATAGTGTGAACCCTGTCCTATCCTCCTGTGCCATCCTCACACTTTCAGACACACTAGAGCCCATTGTATCAGTCACTGCATCAATCCACCTGGTGGATTGAGAGTCTTCCTCTCCTTTGCTGACCCTCAATCCTTCTAAGCATCGTGTCCCTATGAACCTGGTAAAGTATTTTGAAAACTTTACCCTTTGGAAAACATTTCTGTGTATGCAAAGTAGAATTGCTCCAATCAGGCTTTCCAAGCTGTAGATGTTTGCCATCAGATTACCAGTCCTGTCTTCTGAAATGCCTCTTGGGTTGACTTTAAGCACCAGTTATTGCATCAGTGATTGAATGCTTAATCATTGACAGTACTTAAAGACTCCAGTAAAATAAAATAACTCATTTCCATCCAGTTGGAACAAAATTGTAGCTGACCCTCTGTTGGGTTTCCAAGGCAGTAAATCACATAGGAAGAGTTTGCCTAACTTTTTCCTGTGGAACCACTGGTCATTGGTGGATTGCAACGACCAGAGAAGTAAGGCCTTTGGACTACAGTGAAACATCACCAGAGCGATGTACAGACTACACCACCAGGGCTCCCTTAAAAGATAATAGAGGTTGAACAAAAATACATTTAAAAGGTTTTCACATTTGTACTGAAAAAGTCCTAAATGAGCTATTCCAATTCTGTGGATAAACTTTTTAGCTGATCTCTATAAGAGAAAGCTCTTTAAATTTTACTTGTAAGTGCATAATATTCCGTTGTGTGAATATACCACAGCTTCTCTATCCATTCACTTGTTGATGGGCACTTGGATTGTTTCCAACTCTTTGCTATTGTGAACAAAGCCACAGTAAACATGGGTGTGCATATATCTGCTTGGGTGGCAGTTCTGGTTTCTTTAGGGCATATGGTATATGTACAGCAGTGAAATTGCTAGGTCAAATGGTATTTCTATTTCCAGCTTTTTGAGAAAACGCCATACTGCCTTCCATAGTGATTGCACCATTTTACACTCCCATCAACAGTGAATAAGGGTTTCTGTTTCTCCACAACCTCATCAACATTTGTTGTTTGCGGCCCTGTTAAATTTTGCTGTTCTTTACTGGGGTGAGATGATATCTCATAATTGTTTTGATATGTGAAATATCTCAGTCACAAAAAGACAAATACTACATAATGCTACTACTATTATAGAACAGGACTGATATGGGGGTTGAAAAACCAAGAAAATAGGGGATAAATAATGTACACGGCATTGAGACAGATGAGGGAGGGAACTGTATACAAGGAATATATGATTAAGTATTATTGGCAAGAGTTCAGAATAAGAGTTGCATAGTAAAGTGGTCGGGGGTGGGGGGAGGGGGCAGGAGTACTATATAACAATGAAAGAACTTTTTTTTCCAAAGTAAAAGGTGAGCTGGGGGGAGGGAAGATAGGGAGAAAAATGTGCAACAATGAATGAATGGAAATCCAAGTTCTTCATAAACTTTCATTAAAATAAAAAAAATTACCTTGTAAGTGAAGAATAACGATTATTAGGAGCTATAAAGGGCTGAAGAGGTAAGAACTTGTAGAATTTGGATTCTACTGAGAAAGGTTAAAAATGGAATTTTACTGATGATGTTGTGTTTCCTGTTTTCAGACATCGTTGAGGTCGTTTATGAAAACATAAAGAAAAGCAGGAGACTGATCATCATCTTAGTCCAAGACGCACTGGAATTCAGCTGGATGGGGAGTACTTCTGAAGAGCAGATAGCTATGTATAGTGCTCTCATCCAAGATGGAATGAAAGTTATCCTGCTTGAGTTGGAGAAAATCCAAGACTATAAGGAAATGTCTGAATCAATTAAATTCATCAGGCAAAAACACCGGGCCATAAGGTGGTCAGGGAACTTTACAGAGAAGTCTCTGTCCCCAAAAACAAGATTCTGGAAAAATGTACGGTACCATATGCCTGCTCAGCCGAAAGTGCCTTTATCCACACACAACTTCCTATCTATAGCCACTACCCCAAACTCTGTGGGGAAAAGTCCAGGAGAGCTCCGTGTGCCTCTTGGGTAGCATGGAAAAGCTTGAGCTAAGAGTTCATTGGGTAACTAATGCCTTGGGTGCTCCAGGCTGGGCTGTGCTGCCTGCTGGTATACAGCAAAGTCCTTTGAAGTCACCTGAAAGCAATTGGTTAGCAGAGTTGGACGTGGTGACCATGGTAGCCAGGATGAAGCAGAGAGAAAGCTTGGGAAGGTCTGCCAGAGGCACAAGGAATGTTGTGACAATCCTGTTCAAGCTTGTATTGCTGGGAAAAGACTGTCTCAGACAACAAACTAGGGAAAATACAGGCAGTGAATGTTCCTCGACTGAGCTGAAGCAAATGAGTAGGCTTCCCTCCCCTGGAGTGGAGTGCAACTGTTAGCTCAGGGAAGTCAGAATCATGTTGGGGAAATTCATGTTGGGAAAATGCCTTGCATTTCCTATGCACATCTGCAGCCAGCAGTCAGTTTCCAAAGATGGAATATCATTTCATAAACCTTTAAAACTGTCATTCCGATGAACAGTGGGGTGTTTTAGGATTCCAAAGTTTTCGAAGAATCTTAGCTTTCTGAAGGAAAGAGATGTTTTAAAGCTGTGGTATCAGAGAATTGCTGCACTTCAGATTTTCTTCCCTGGGAGAACACTTGTTTCTTTTTTATTCATCTTCATTTTTTTTGACGCATTACTTCTCCGAAAGGACAAAATACTGATTCCTTCTTCCCTCCCACTTACTCTCTGACTTGTATATGGCCCACAGATTAAACATTTTTCATAAAACACTGCTTTCCTCTCACCCTGTTCCTATTTTTTTTTAACCCCGCAAAACAAACTAAAACCAGAATAATATCTCCTGGGACTCCTTGTTTATGAGCTGGATTTTTCCCAGGAGCATTCAGTCCCAGCACAGCGGCCCCCTCTACCCCAGTCTGGAGTCAGGGTGTCCTCATACCTTCCCCTTCATTTTCTTGCCTATCAGTGTGGCCCACTGAATACCAGGATCATCCTCCAAATGCCTTTACTCTGCCTCCTCACCAAATTTGACCTGCCTAAAACACCTCCTCCCATTTCCTCCTGCTTGCTAGAATTGACTGCAGTTCAACATTTATTTCTGTTCTGTATTCGCCAAAAGACTAAACCTAAGGGCTTGCACTGAAATATTCTTTTTCCTCTCCATCTCATTGTTACCAGTACCTGATACAGTGTGTGCTTTCTTCAGTTAGAAGCTATAATCTCTAAGGACAGGGTCCTATGTGAATATGCCTCTTTGTCCCTAAGTGTCTTTCTCAAGTAATTTGCACATATTTGCATAATGATTTATTATGTAAAGAGAACTCCAGTGACATTGTCAGTAGGCCTTTGTGTGCTGCTAACTCAAAATCTGTGCCTTCCTGGCTGTGGGAATTCATTCACGAGAAAGATGATCTTTCTCCTCCAGTAAAATTCACAGCCTGAGATGCCAAATGGAAGGTCAGCTGAAGTGGTTTTGACTCAGTGGTAATGAGTTTTTATTGTTTAAAAGCTGTTCTCAGAGTATATTAATGAATTTTTTAAATTATTCTCATGTTAAAGAGATAATAAATGGCCTGCTTTTGGCTTTTTTTTTTTAAGTAAACTCAATAGACAGAGCATTGAGCCTCAGTTTTGGGACCCTAGCTTACCTACTGTTTGAACGCTTGGTGCCAGATCCATAAATATACCTACACTTGCAGAAGGGAGCTCTGGTAAGCCTAGTGGCAAAGACTTGTGCTACCAACCCCAAGACACTTAGTTCTAATCCATCAGCTGCTCTGAAGGAGAAGGATGAGCATTCTTCTCCCTTGACATTTATAGCCTCCGGATTCCTGCTGGAGGCTGAGTTCGGAGTCAGTTTTGACTCTGTGCATAGCAACAACTTCGTTTTAGGAACTTTTGAAATGAAATGATTGTTCTCTTAGGTGATACTAAGAAGTTATAATTAAGCAACCTGATCCTCAGTGTTGAGGATCTTAAATCTTTAAAAATTATGTTTCGATTTTATGAAGTCCTTTTTTCTGTTGTCTAATATAGTCTTTACTTAAAGAGCAAAACTTACTAAAAAATGAAAACTTTTTTTAAAGAGGTTGTTTTTGTTGTATACCATCTAGCCAGAACCAACACATAGCTAACCTTCCCGTAGGTTTTCAGAGGGAGTTTAATCTCATGGGAAGAGATTGCCCATCTTTCTCCCATGGAGCCACACTGGTGGATTCAAACCATGTGCCTTCAGGATTGCAATGCAGTTTCTTGCCACTTGGCCACCAGAGATCCCTTTAGTGAGAGAAGAATTATAGGAACTATTGTTTAAAATTTCATGACAGACCTCTGGATGGATAGAGAACCACAGAGCTGAGCTTCTGTGCCGATTACTGAAGCTCCTGTCCATAGCTTTAAAAATGCTATAAAACAAAGATGAGCCTTCTGATTCATATGTTTTTAATATCTTATAAGGACCCTCCCTCCACAAGATAGATTTCCCCATAGACTACAGAAGTGAACTCAAACAATTCACTTCACAACGATTGTGAGGATGATACAAGACTGATGGTCATCATTACATTCTGTTTTACACAGGGCCATCCATTTGAAACTGGAACCACCTCTATGCCCTCTAACAACAACGATAGATTGGATATTGTAAGTGAACACAAAGTTTTGTTTGGAAAAATACGATATTTTTCCTCCATACAGCCAGAAAACAAAGCAGAAATGTAATAATTTTAGTCTTTCTGTCTTCTTACGGCTCCCAGTTGCCAGTTTTGAGTAGAAGTGCTGTGTTCAAGAGGCCTGTTTTCAAAGTCAATGTTTTCTTTCCGGTTGGTGGTTACTTTTATTGTTAGATGCTATTGAGTTAGCTCTGAATCATAGCAATCCTACATACAACTGGTGTTCAAGCCCATTGTTGTAGTCACTGTGTTGGTTCATTTCACGAAATACCTTCTCTTTTTCTGGTTTTCTTCTTTTCTGTATATGATGTTCTATTACAGGTTCTAGCCCCTTCTTCTAATATGTCCCAAACATATGAGATGAAATCTCATCATCCTTGCCTTTAAGGAGCACTCTGGCTGCAATTCTTCCTAGATAGATTTGTTTATTCCTTTCGCAATCCTTTCATCACTCTTTATCCAACACCACAACTCAAGGACCTCAATTCTTATTCAGTCGTCTCTATTCTTGTCCTGCTTTAAAATGGATATGAAGCAATTGCAGCCTGAAGTACAGCTAGGATGTGTCATGTTCCAAAAACGTCTACTAAGTAAAAGTATTCTTTTGTTGATGACTTTTAGTGAGCCATCTATGGAATGAAATGGTAAGAAGGTACAAGAAAGTCAGTGCTGTGATTTAGATTTCAGGACAAAACTGGTCAGAAAGTGAGGAGTGAGGAAAGCAGGTGGTTCATGTGACACAGAGGGACAAAAATCACCTCATCAGTGGGGGTCAAACTTGAAAGTGAGAGGATGTGCCCCCTTGAAAATTGGGAGGTTTCAGGGGGAAGAAATTACATGCCTAATTTCTGAATCTCCTTTGACCTTTACCTTAAAAAAATCTTTCTTATGTGTTTCTTTTTACAAATCCACATTAATTATGTTTTACTGTACTTTCTTTTTTAAAAAAATTATTTTAATGAAAGTTTACAGACTTTGGATTTCCATTCATTCATTGTTACACTTTCCTCCCTACCCACCCCTCCCCCCAGTTTGCTTTTCTCTTTGAAAAGAAAAAAAAATTATTTCATTGTTATACAATCCAACCCCCCAATCCACTCCACTATGCAGCTTTCATTCTGGACTCTTGTCATGACAACAATACCTAATCATATATTCCTCCTAAACAGTTCTCTCATCTGTTTCAATGCAGTATACATTATTTATCCCATCTTAGTTCCCTCCTACCTCGATGTCAGTCCCGCCCTACAACAGTGTTACTATGCAGTATTTGTCCTTCTATGACAGAGATATTTTACTCAGCATAATGTCCTCCAGGGTCATCTATTTTGTATAATATTTCATAAGTTCCTTGTTTTTCAATGCAACATAGTGTGATTCATTTGTTGATGGGCACTTAGGTTGTTTCCAACTCTGCTGTTGTTACTGCACTTTCAAATAGTCATTATTAAGTGTTTAAAAAATGTGCCAGTGTAACAAATTATTTGGTTACAATTTGTGAAAACCAGTTTGGCAGAAATTATCATTTCTTTCCTGCCTTTATTTTATATGTGTAATTAAGAGAAGGTATTGAGCCATTTTAAAATTATATTTTCAATAAATTATGTTTGTGTTGGTTAATTATGAAGGTATTTTTTTAGCCTGTTTGTATAGTTCTGCAGCAAAACCCATATACTTTTCTATGTTAAAATACCAGATTCGTGTACAGCATATATCTTTGGTTGATGTGCTGTATTTGTTTTCCAATAAACTTGCCAAAACCTTGGATTGAGTAGTATCATTTGGATTAATAACTTATTTCTTTGCCAGTGTTTCTCCATGACATTCGTGCACACCCAGGTCTGTACTAGTGTGAGGGCAGCCTTTGAAAGACAGAGATTCTGTGAAGAGTTCAAAAGCCACTGGGCAACAGTGAACTGCAACCCATTGTGTTATCTCAACTATATTGTGTTTTAATTGCTTGCTTCTGCAATGGACTAAAAATGTTTTAACACTTTGCCTTCATGAAAATTGATAAAGTGCTTGCACAGACTATTACATTTTACCAGAAGTTTCCATATGGAATGTGGCATATGCACTCAGAAATGGCTAATACTGATCTAAAGTAAGAAATGAATGGGACTAAGAAGATTATCTGTCTTTCATTAAGTAAGTTAAAGTATATTCTTCCCTTCATGCAAATCTGATGTTGGTAGCTTGGGGGCTTATAACATCGAGGGGCTTCCCTTCCCCTCTTTCCATTGTCAAATGCTTTGACTATTACTTAGCTGGTAGGAGCCCGAGAGCATGTTCACTCGTCCTATATCGGCACCTTCCCCACTGACCACATTTGTGGACCCAAAGAGAAATCCA